ACCACCACCACCACCACCACAACCACAACCACCACAACCACCACCACCACAACCACCACAGCAACCACCACCACCACCACAACAACAACCACAACAACAACAACCACAACAACAGCAACAACAGCAACAGCAACAACAACAACAACAGCAACAGCAACAACAACAACAACAACAACAACAACAACAACAACAACCACCAACAACAAATACCACCACCAACAACAACCAACAGCAACAACAACCAGCACCACTGCCAAGAACCACCAACAACAACAACAACCTCCACCACCACCAACAACCGCCACCACCGACAACAACAACCAACCACCACCACCACCAACCAACCACAACCAACAACAACAAATCACAACCAACAACCAACAACAACCAACAACCAACAATGAACAACCAACAACGAACAACAAACAACAAATGCCAACAGCACAAGATTGAACCAATGTCTCTGGCACACACACACACAAAAAAAAAAAAAAAAAAAAAAAAAGATTGAACCAATGTCATCTCCCACCTCCGCTCGCTATCATCTTCAGCCCTCACATAGTTGCCAACTCCTCTAAATACAAATAATGAACAAATGAATGAACAAGAATCAGTGTCCAAATGATCGGCCTTAGTGCCAGCAGTCGAAGAACTCTCCTTCAGCTCTCTCACTTTATGGTAGCACACTAGCTACCGCAGTCCATCCATGCCTAGCACGGATGTGCGGACGACAACGCACTACCATGCCTCTCCGATCTCCTAGGCAGTAGCCACAGTCCCGGATGATGTCCAACCAGGACCCCAGCAGGGGACTTCTCGATCAAATGCCAACCACAGAAACCAGCAGCAGACCTGTAGATCCAGCACCAACCAAAGAAACGGGAAGGGAACACCCTGCTCCTCCAGCGCTAACCAAGAAAATGGAGACTGAAGATTCGCCATAGCCAAAGGTAAGTCTCTCTGTCGATTCCCTCCTTCCTCCTCCTTAGCCCATCTGGAGGTCCTTGTCCCTCTACCTCCATAGCCTAGGCCTTCGCTCTCCTACTACTACTAGCCATGGATGTCTTCTTCCTCAGCCTCAGCTCCTCCTTCACCCAATACTCCGCCTCATTCTACCTCAGAGCCGAGCAGCGGCGGCATACCCAGAATACTCGTTGCACCAAATCATATACTCTTGCTTCCTCACTCGGCATACTCCTAAACCAGCTGAGCTATGCGGCCTACCTATTCCCTCCTTGTGGCAGGAACATTATTGCAGAGCATAATCCTAAAGATCTCGCTACTGTGCAGGAAAGAAGTTGATAAGGTGGTAGAAAGAAAGTTGACCTCATCTTAGCTTTCTAAAGAGATCGCCACCTGGCACAAAGGTGATAGAAAGAAAGTTGACGCTGAAGAAGGAAGTTGTGAGTAGCTCCCAAGTTCATGAGCGATAAGGTGACATGGTAGCAGGCAAAAGACAAGCCACACATATGAGCTGAACTCCTGAAGAAGAGGCAGAAGTAGGATCAACAGCCGAAGGAACAAGCTGACCTGGCAGCTGAGATCAAGGTGGTGCAGGATGAAAAACTGCCGACAAAGAGCAGGGAGGATATAAAGAACATAGTTGAAGACAAGCCATAGACATTGGGGATTGATTGCCAGCATTCACTGTCCTCTATGATGCAAACACGGACAGCACGGAGAAGACGATGGATGCCATGTCTGACAAAACCATGCAGGAGGTTTATAAGCAGGTGGCATGAGTGCTCAGCCAACCACCGCCATCTTCATCTTGTAAGCAGCCAAGTCATGCGGGACTTTCCTCCCAGCATGCAGGAGTAAATCAAAACTGATCCAAGATCAAGTCGCCGCAACCTTTGAAGTGGCTGCCAGATGTGGATGTGGAGGTCCAGCTGCAGGAGGCAAAACACCAGATCGTGTAATATCACCTCCTTGACAATATCACCAAACTCCAGTTTCATATCAGCAACATTGAGGATGGGGCCAAAGCATGAGCAACCGCTGAAAATTTGACAGGAGGAGGAGGGAGGACAAGGTATACAAGAGGCTAATTGAACTGGTGCATCAACCGTTTCAGGGATCGACGCTCGTATCCAAGAGGTGGCAGGGGTGGCTGCTACCTCTGCTGGCCTGTTCAGTTTTTTGAACTGTTGCTGCCCCAGGTGGGACACTTCTTCACAAAGTGTTTTCCTGCACACTTGAGGCGAACCCCATCACCCTTTCTCTTCTGCCAAACCCTTTTGTTGATTCTTAGATCTCTCCAGGGGAAGGTAGAAGGATCCATGGGATTAGATGGGCACTTGGCACATCTTGGCAGAATTTGCTTCTGCGGTCCATTCATCAGTGCCTACGCCAAGGTCAAAACAGCCTGATCCGGGGAAGCTCCTGCATCTTGACCAGCTGAGAGAGTCATTCCTCCCTGGTTAGAGTTTGCAGAGTCTTCCTCAGACTCCAAAAAATACAGTCTACCACTTCCCTTCCTCTGACTCTGGGCAGAGGAGCTGTCTCCCTTCAGGGAATCGGATGGGACTTGGAGGGTGGGCTCCATGTCCAAGACCGCTTTGCCGAAGGGCCTCCAGTCATAGTTGGCAACATAAGGGCCCTGGCATACCCTTCTGTGGCAGCCCGGATAAACCATTTTAGCTTGTCTTTTTCAGACATGTCTAATCTGGGGGTAGAGGTGAGCCGTTCGCACTTAGAGTACAGTGAGAGAGGAATCCATGCCATTTAATCGTGCCTAGTCTGACTAACTTGTCGGCTGCCTTTTGAGCTCTTTCCTTATCAGCAAACCTCTCCTCCAGGCCCTGGAACAGAGGATATAATAGTACAGTGGAAGTCTAGTCTGCTAGCTACTTCTTGGCCTTGTTGGCCTCAGAAGTGACCCACTTCAAGGCGGCACCAGCGAGGAGGGCTACCAGCCCGAATAAACCATTTTAGCTTGTCTTTTTCAGACATGGCTAATCCAGGGGTAGAGATCAGCCGTTCCCACTCAAAGTACAACCAAGACAGGGATCCATGACATTTAGTCTGGCCTAGTCTGACTAACTCGCCGGCTGCCTTCTGAGCGCTTTCCTTATGAGCAAACCTCTCCTCCAGGACCTGGACCAGATGGTCTAATCCTACAGCAAAGTCCAGTCTG